ATAGATGATATTGATGCATTTATTCTTCAACTTGAAGGAAAAAAACATTGGCGTGTTTATAAACCACTTAATGATGATGAAGTTTTACCATTAAAATCCAGTGGTGATTTAGATAAAAATGTTCTCAATGGTATTAAACCATGTATTGATGTTGTACTTGAAGCAGGTGATCTTCTTTATATGCCACGTGGTTATATTCATCAAGGAACTACTCTTGATGATGCTCATTCATTACATCTTACTGTTAGTTGTTATCAACAAAATACATGGGGAGATCTATTCAAAATTCTTTTACCTAAAGCAGTCGATTACGGTTAGTTAATTGAATATTTTTCTTTTTATTTAATATAAATATTTTTTCTTTTCAATAATATTAGCTATGAAAACGAATGTTAAATTTCGTCAAGGTTTACCATTAGGTCATCTCAATCATTTTGGCCTTATTCATAGTACAAAAAAATTATCGATGAAAAAACGTGCTAAATTTCATAGTGAATGTCATCGATTACTTGATGAATTACTTCGTGAAAGTGTTCCTATACAAATGGATAATAGTGTTGATATGATGGCTCAAAGATTTATGCATGATGCTTTACCACCTATGTTAACAGCTGAAGAACAATTAACAACGATTCAAGAACAAGGTGAACGATGGAATAGTGATTTTAATCGTGTTAGTAATGTTGTTGAACTTGAGCCTGATACACGTGTACGTCTTTTACGTCGTCATTGTTTACGTGTTGCTGAACAAGATACAAATGAAGGAGGAGAGGATGATGATGAAGATAATATTGTTGCTTATTATACGACAGATAATGCTCGAAGTTATCATGATCGACCATTATCAACACTCGGTGTCGATAAAGAAACATTACCTGCACTTGAAATGCTTTTTACAACTTATCCACAATTTCTTAGTATTGATTCTTTACCATTAGCAACAGTTGAAGATAAAATTGCGTTTATATCAACTTTATATGAAAAAGGTCTTGTTCGAACGCAATTTGAACTTCAGAATTCAGATGAAGAAGGAGATGAATCAGATACTGAAGATGAAGATGGACGTAAGTGATTATTTTCATTTTATAACAAATAATTAATTATCTTTTCTCTTTCCTAAATAGTTATGTTAAAACGTCAAAAAGTTCAAAATGAATCATCTGACGATGACGATGACGACGACGAAGATGATGATGATGAAGATGAAGAATAAATAAAATAGTGATGTGTCTTTCTAATGCTTTTTTCTTTCAATTTTGTGGTTATTATTACAGTTATACAATAAAAAAAAAGAACAGAAAATCACGTATTTCAAAAGACTTGTTTCTACACATAAACGAATCATAAGGGTATTCTTAAAATTCTCTATTATATCTAGTTTTGCTCAGTTTTTTATGCTCTTTCGAATCGTATACTTGGAATTTAAAAACAAATCAAAATTTTATTAACTAATTGCTCGTTTATGCACATCTACAATATGTTTTCTTCGCGTAAAAATAAACACAAGCCGACTAAAATTAAAAAGAAGAGGATAATCAGGACGCAGATACAGAAAAATCATATGTGAATACACCGGCCCAATTTAATATCAGCAGCAACAAAAAATAGTTGCAGTTTTTTTTGTTTTTTTGTATTTTTATCAGAGCGGAAGTTAAAAATGGCCGAGTTATAACTTGAATTACAACTTTTGAGTTATAAATGATCAACTTTTCGGTCCAAATGTTATGTTGGTTATAATATTTATCCGTGATTAATATAAGGTATAAGTTATTATTTCAAATCTGTCAATTGGGTAGAATTTCTACCTCATTAATCTAAGTGAGTGAGTACACCGAAGCCATATTTTGTCATTACATTCTAAAATATTCGTATTATCTCCAGAAATAAAGTTCAATTTTGAATTAAGAGCTTTATGTCAAAATGTGACTTCACTTTACCTGCTCATTAAGAATAAAGAGAGAGAAATTCTATCCAGTTGACAGAATTGAGATAGTAACTTATATTAACCACGGTTAAACGTTATCTTCATTTTCTCAATTTTTAACTTCAAAATTTCTTTCTATATTCTACTCTGAATTTCTATTTCATATTTATTAAATAGTATAATCATGATGAACGATATTGTCTAAAATTTCACAAAATATTATATTGATTTTTGGCAGTTTACGCTCACAAAATCGTATTAAAAGACCACCCCATAATAGAAGACCTAATTCATTCATTCATTAACTTTAATAAAATTAAATATGAGAAAAAATTTTTAAAATATCTTTATTCTTCGTTTATGTGTAAAAACAAAAAAGACTAGGTTTTTTTCGAGCCTCACTGTATAAATAACGAATCATAAAATAATGTTTATCTATTCGGTTTTTAACTGGTTAATAAGGTTAATTCTTGTGATCCTTTCCATGTTTGATCTTTATCAAGTTGAACAGGATTACTAACATGACCAACTTCAACACAGACATATTTTGGATAATTATGTTCACCAATATCAACCGCTGCTTTCGCTTTTTCTTGCCAAGGATTCCACACGACAACATCTGGCATTGTATTCGAACCAATAACTTGAATACGATCATTGATAGAAATTGAATTGTTATTTTTACCACCGTCTTTATAGACACGATCAGTTTCACCTGTAAATTCAATAATCTTATTTGTTTCTGTTTTTGTTTTGCCTCCATCGACTTTATCCAAATAAGTCACATTATTTAATCCTGATCTAAATATAACAGCTAATTTTTTATGAACAACAAAGAATAGCTGTTAATATGTATACATACATTTTAGTTGTTTTTATATCATCAACAGTAAAATAGGTATGAAATAATGCAGTAAATTCAAATGTTTGATCATCTCGATTATCAACAATTAATTCTTGATAGAATGATTTTTCAGTTAAACGAATATGAAGTGTTAAGTTGAATTTATGTGGCCATATTTTTAATGTATCATCATCATGAGAAAGATGTAACTCAATACTAACATTATCAGTTGTATTTGTTTTACCTATACGCCAGGGTTTAACACGTGCAAAACCATGTTGTGGTAATGGACCTGGTCCAAATTGAGGCCACACAATAGGTATACCACCACGAATAGCTTTTCCTTGTTCAAATATAGCTTGATCACTACAAAAAAATATTACTATTAAAGACTATACAATGTATGAAAAAGAGAGATAAATAAACCTGACAAATAAAAGTTCATGATCATTTACAGTCCAAGAAAGAACATGTGCACCATATAATAAAAATTCAACAGATGCAGAACCATTTGGATGTGTTAAACGAATAGCTGGAAAACCATTTTTATATTCAAACTCTGTAATAGACATTGTTGAAACTAAAATGATATAAACTATCGATAGATCGAATAAGGGCTTATATTTGTATAAGTTAAATCAAACAACGAATGAAGCGAAAGAGAAAGAAAAATATTTTCGTCTGTCAATAATATTTAAAAACACACAAGACGTATATTATTATCAATTTCATACATATTTGATTACAATTCGATGATAAGAAAAAAAATTAAACTGAATGCAAATATCATTTTGATAGAGGAAAAAAACAATCATTAATTAGGTACTTTGAATTCTTAAATATGAAATTTCTATTAAACATCATTTACTGACATCTGTTGATTGTAATCTATTCATCCATGTCAGCGGTTGTCATGTCAACATTTTAGATCTGAATCGTCGTTTTTCTACTTCATTTATGAAATGGCTACTAATCATCAAACAGTAGGTCGTAGTCTTTTGCCAAATACTGAACGTGAACGTGATGCTCTTCTAACTATTCGTCAGTTAGAAAAACGGTAAATCATAATAACATATATGTTTAATTATATATAGTAGTTTTCTTTTTTGATTAGACTTCATCAAGTCATACGTGAAGTTGATGCACCTTTTATTTCTCGTCATAATGAATTTAGTAATGTCTATAATGAACTTGTTAATGATAAAAATACATATGAACAAGCATTTAATGCTGAAAGTAATATTGAAAAGAATTCTATAAGATAAATTTAGTCTCTTTTTTTTTACTAACTAGAACGTCGAATTCAACAACATTTACAACGTGTTAATCAAAATATTCGTTCATTTTCAAAAGATGTTCGACATTTAAAACCTGATTTAACTAGTAAAATATCTTCTTTATATATATGTTTATTTAATTATTTATTATTATGATTAGTGGTTAATAAAATTCGTAATACAATTGAAGAAATTGAACAAACAATATATACATCCAAAGAAGCATCACGATTAAAGTATAATATCATTTATTAGAGTAAAACTAAATTAGTTTTCTTTAAGATATGAAGAATTAATTGCTGAAGAACGTTTATTATCAAATGAAGTGCAAGCATTAAGTGATAAAATTGATTTATGGTCTACACAACGACCTGGTCAACAACGAAATGAATCAGTTCCCCCACCAAGTTCAGCACGTAAATTTGATAATTCAAATTCAAATCTTTTACCTGAAATTATCGAATATGACGTGAGTGATTTTGTTTTTCTCTTAATGATAGACAATATTTTTTTCGTAGAGATTTTTACTTGAACAAGGTGGAATGACAGGTAATTGGGATGATTATGATCATGGAACATTTCTACGTATTCGTAATAAATACAAGGTTATTTCTTTTTTCTTTTTAAATAGTAACACTCAATATTGTCTTATAGGGTCAAGATAAATTTATTGATGATTGTATTGGTTTTTTACCAACTAAAACTCGAGATCAAATCAATGAACATGAACAATGGTATCGACAATTTTTAAGTATTAGTAATAAACGTCGTCTAGCATTAAAACGATGGCGAGAAGAACGAGATGTAAGATATCGTTTAATTGGAATATATAAAGAAATAATTTCATGCTATTTTGTAGCAAGCTAAAGAAACTATTCTCCATGAAGCTGAACAAGCACATAATACTATTAAAGAAATTGATGAAACAATTCAACGAGCACAAACTAAAGAGCAAGAACGAATACGAGCTGAAAAATTAGCATTAATAGCTGCTTGGAAACAAGAACGTGAATTAAAGAAACGAGAAATTGATGAAGAACAAGAACGAATTGAAAAGAAAAAACAGGAAGATGAAGAAAAACGTTTTACTGATAAAGAAGAGCAGCGAAAATTAGTTGAACAAATTCGTCGTGAACGTGAAGAATCAGAACGAATTCAACATGAACAAGAAGGAAAACAACGACGTCTTCAACAAGAAATTAGACAACGAAGAGCTACAGCTGCTATACATAAATTTCGTGAAAGAGTAAAAATTGATATAGATTAGATTATGAGAGTGAGTAATTTTATTTGTAGGATATGAATAATTTAGAAGACAAATTGATGCGTGATAAATTACAAAAACAAGAAGAACAAGCTCGACAACAACGTCTTGAAGCAGCAAAATATCATGTATCAATTGATTATGATCCTCATAACCTATATGAACCAACACAAGCATGGACATCCCGTGGTAAAACTCCTCGTGGAGAATCAAAAGATACTTCTGCACCTTCAAGTATTTTACAAGTAACTCATCGAGCAACACCGAGTTGGCGTCAACAATAGAACACTTCCACTTGTTATTTTTTCTATCTCTAATTGTCAGATTATATGTTTATTTCAAATGATTTGTAAATATTTTCATAATATTAAGATCAAATTGAAGAATACATAAAAACAATAAATATGATTCCTTTGCAATGATACCATTATCGATGTTGGTTGCCTCTATTTGTCGCTACATGGTATAATCTTATATCTATTGGTTAAAATACCTACAGGAAGAAAAAAGAGACAGGCATGTGCATACATACATATATCCTATCTACTACTACTGATTATTGTTTATTTACGGATAGCTTCGTTGTTTGACTCATTCATGAGAATAATTATTACTGATAGAAAAATATAACAATATCATTATATAAATGACGTAGTTTTATCTATTTCTTTAGATCTTTCGTAGTGCCGTCTAATGGCTAGCAATTTTCAGTCGCGAACAGGTATGATTATATGCCTATCGTTGAGTTTTGATTTGCATGATTGATTTGATTGAAGAATA